TCACTAGATTGATCTATTATTAATTAGAATGAAAAGAAGTTTCTATTTTTTTTTTTTCGGGAGGAGGTTAACCTTTTATTTGTAAATTTTATGCCCCAAAACAAAATAAAACAAAAAAAATCATCTATAATTCAACAATCCAACAAAAAGCTATTAAGATAACAACATTCAACAATAAGCTGACAAGGCGACAACAATTCATGTTATCCAATGATACGTTGACAAGACAACAATAATTCAATAATTTCATTTTTCATATAAAATTAATATAAATACACAATAGAAATGAACTATACATGAAAAAAAAAAAAATTATTGATGACAAGCATAGTACGTGAAATTGAATGTGAAGCAAATAGGCACCAATAGCAAACGAGCATTCGAATATAAAAATATAAAATTTTTATGATTAATTTGTTTATCAACGTCTCATATGTGCTTAATTTTCATAATGAGATCACAATGACGTCTTTTATTAAACTCTATTATTATTATTATTATTTTAATTATATGTTTTGATATATTAAACTATTAAAGTATGGAATCAGAAAAATATCTTCAACATTTTTCAGTGAGAATGTCGTTCAATCTTAAAAAGGGCCCCTACAAAATTAATAATACAAAAGGGATATGCAAAAGCGGTTTTTGCTCACAATATTGTGGGCTGCTGGGAAACAATATCATTATTTTTGATAAATACTAATGTGACAATTGATTATTCGCTCCATTCCATTCTTTTGTTTGTAAACCTTAACTCACATGCTCAAAGACGTGTTTTTTTAAGAAATGATTCTTTGAAATGCTTCCTCACATTCTCCAAAAAAAATATTAATTTTTTCATCCTCTTTCCCGTAACTTTCAATACCCTTAAACCATTTATTCATTAAAAAAACACTTTTCAAAGAATCATTTCTTAAAAAAATCTTCCTCAGCAAGCGCTTATTGGTTTGGAGCAATAATTGTAAGGAAGCAAATCTAGTGGCTTCATAGCTTAGATTGATAGATTCTTCAAAATTGTACAATACTGTGACAAGACATGCAGGAATACCCCGGAAACACAAAAGGGCACGACAAGAGTACGATAAGGGACTGCAATCAACCTAATAAAAACAAACTATTTCAGAAACCACGGCGTCCGTTCCCCCAGATTTTATATGTGGTTTTAATCCTTCAATTACTGCTACTTCTGCAAATAAACAAAATTCCTTACCTATTATGGCTCCGCTTGGCAAAATTTAAAATGATTTATAAAGAAAAATAATAGTGAATTCCACGATAAATACTAATAAATAATAGTTATCAATGTATAACTGAATTTATTCATTAACTTAGATTGAATATGGAAACTATGCCTCTGTTTAGTGTATATTAAAATAAGATTTTAAATAAATTTTGATAAAAAAAGTGATGAAATATGTGATTGAAAAGCTGATTCCCATAATATATATATATATATATATATA